TCGATCGGCAAAAACTGAGGTAAAATTGCGATTTTACTTGTCCTGGAGTAATCCTTTCGCACGAAATGAGGGTCGATCGGCAAAAACTGAGGTAAAATTGCGATTTTTCGTGTGCTGGAGCAACACTTTCGCACGAAATGAGGGTCGATCGGCAAAAACTGAAGTAAAATTGCGATTTTTCGTGTGCTGGAGTAATCCTTTCGCAGGAAAAGGGGTTTGTGTGTACGAGCGTTTCTGTGTAAAGATGTTTGTGTGTAAAATTGTTTGTGTGTGTACAAGTGCATCTGTGCAGAAGTCTTGTGTGCAAAACCTTCTGTGTGTAAAAGTCTTTGTGTGTAAACGGGTTTGTGTGTACGAGTGTTTCTGTGTAAAGATGTTTGTGTGTAAAAGTGATTGTATGTAAAATTGCATCTGTTTAAACGTGTTTGTGTGTAAAAGCTTCTGTGTGTACAAGCGTCTGCGTGTAAAAGCGTCTGTGTGTAAAAGTGTTTGTGTGTAAAAGTGTTTGTGTGTAAAAGTGTTTGTGTGTAAAAGTGCCTGTGTGTAAAAGCGTCTATGTGCAAAAGCTTCTGTGTGTCAAAGCGTTTGTGTGTAAAAGCAGCTCCTGTGTGTAAAAAGGTCTGTGTGTAAAAGTGTCTGTGTGTAAACGTGTCTGTGTGTAAAAGTGTCCGTGTAAAAGCGTCTGTGTGTAAAAACATCTGTGTGTAAAAGCGTCTGTATGTAAAAGCTTCTGCGGGCAAAAGCTTTGTGTTGTTTTTTTTCCTCTGTGTAAAAGCTTCTGTGTGTAAAAGCTTCTGTGTGTAAAAGCTTTTGTGTGTAAAAGCGTCTGTGTGTAAAAGTGTTTGCGATGCAAACTATTGTCTTGCACTTCTCACTATTTTGTCTTGATACTCCTCTTCTCGACTGCCTATAACACATCTTTCATATATTGTTTGTAAAATTGTGTCTCCATACTAACAAGAGAAGACCCTGCTCCTCTACGCTCTCGGGCCATCCGTCGTCTAGTTGTTTGGGTAACCTATTTTCAGACCTATGTGCTGAAAAATAGATCGATACAATCGCCATGGTTCTGTGTTTTTTTAAATACGGAGGAATATAATGAAATACAATCTGATTCTTCCAAGAGAAATGGGGGTTGAACTTAGTGTAACCCAATGGGCAATGGGGATTCATAATGGGGAATACCCTCTGGTAATCAAACGTGGCAATGAACAATCCCCCATTTATAGATATTTATAGATGTTTTTTCCATTTAAACATATTTATAGTTTTTTGTGCTTTCCATTGCCACATTTATTTACCGGAGAGAGTATAGTTCGAGATAACCATGAATTTTGCCATGGATCTGGGATTTGGAAAAAACAGAGGTTTCTGCTTCAAAAAATGGAGTGACCCAACAAATTGTGGGTGTTTTCAGACCAACCATGATAATCCATCATAGGGATGTATTATAAAGAGATATACTTGATTCATCTTGATTCTACTCGGATATATTGCCAACACTATTTCATGAGTTGGGTCCATTCGAATGGGGGATTCTCACCATTGACATACCATCGAGGCACGAAAGAGGCCATCGAGATAGCGAGGGTAAATCAGGGGAAGGATTATTGTTTGCGATTTCAGGATATTTTTGGTGGATATTGTGAAAGGGGTGGATTTTAATCATTGAAACTTTAACTGAAACCTCTTTACCACACATTCCAACCTCTTTGAAACAATGTCTGCAATGGGTTTGGGGTTTATTTTTAGGTCCTAAAGTGCACAAACAAGATGTTCAAGGTTGGCTAGCGGGTTGATTTCCAGATATGTTGAGCCAGAAGTGGGTGAAGATTCTAATGCCTCAACATATACATATATATATATGTGTGTGTTCAGCAGTTATATTTACAAACTAGCTTGCTATATTCTCAACAGAGAACATGGATTTCCCTTTCACTTTGAAACATATTTGTTGCTCGCATCCATCATCCAACATCATGTTTTTTTTGCTTACTAAGCACTCGTGTACACTCGTTAAAACCTTGAGAAGCTGAGGTCGTGTCTGTTGCTTGGTCATTATAGCCCATAGGATCCATGTATGCTATATATGGTAACATTTACCATCAATATACCCCAAATGTTAGCATGTTCTACCAGGTGCCACCTGGTTTCCTGCTATGGGATGCTAGTAGAAACGATGGCAGGATTTTTCGTCTGTGGCCTCGGTGGCATCCCGAAATCTTGATACTTGAAATGCTCTTAAAACATTTTGGAACTGTAAATCTGTAAATCTCTATTGTTGATGCTTAAAAATGCTTACAGTAAATCCAATAATTGGGTGAATTACAAAAAAGCCATGGAACTTCGACCATCACGTTGCCATTTATTTTTTTCCACTCAGGTCAACGGATTTGGTGGTGGGGCTGTTCTCTATGTCTTCGACCTGAGGAAGGCAGAGGTGCAGCTGGTGAAGACCCTATGGAGATAATTTACAGTAACATTAGCTGTGGAAAATGGATGGACATGGCCCATTTACAGATGATTTATAGATGATTTCCCCATGAAAGACCATTTCCAGTGGATTTTCAAGTGCGAACTTTGATTACCAGAGGGAACCATCAAACAGTTGGGATCAGTTGGGTTGGTTTTACTGTCGACAATTTCACGGGAAATCACCCTGAAAACATTGGACTTTATTGATGCATCTGAACCAAGTTCTTTTTTGAGAAGAGAATTTCATAGGATTTTCATTTGGCTCATATATATAGTTACAAGCATTCCAAGTCAGTAATTGAGCCATGAACAAAATAGCCCTGTTTATGGCTGACAAAAAACGGTGATACAAACTGCTTTCCCGAGGATTATTATTGGTTTGTTACTGTAGCTATTTACCAACTTCAGATGGGTAAACGAGGTATGTTTGATCGCTCAAGTTATGGTTGGATTCGTTGGGATTAACCATCGAACATGTGGATTTTACCATGGATTTTACCAAGATTTGTTTAGCAAAAATTGAAGTGTTACCAATAGGTGTACGGATTGAATTCACCGTGAGCATATGGGTTTTATGTGATGCTTGGGGTCGGGTTGATCAAGCAACATGGGGATTTAAACAGAGACATGGATATGGATGAACCCTTGGCTGGTTAAAGATGGTTACCCTCTGGTAATTTAACATAGCTATGGAAAATCACCATTTTTAATGGGAAAATCCACTATAAATTGCAATTTTCAATAGCTATGTTATATAGTTTACCAGAGGGTAAAGGGTGATTCTTAGTCAGCTCAAAGCTGAAAATGAACTCTTTTGCAGTTGGTGGGTTGTAAACGCGTTCGCGCAGAAACTGCGTATTTGTCTGGACCATGACGGCCCTTTGTAATCGATTAATGAATGATCAACAATGAGATGCAACGGCTTTTTCTCAATATTTTCATACGTTTGTCCCAACATGATGGGAATATAATGGGGTACTAATAGAATATGATTGGACGATGACTGGGATCTGAATGAAATACCGTTAATCATTTGGAATCATCCCCAAATGGCCTAATATTTGAGGTTAAGATGACGCTTTAAGAACGTTACTGTAGGAGAAAGTGGTAGACCTAAATTGGTGGATTAAAGTGCCACTTGAATTAAAAATCTAGAACTGTGTGTTACCATCTTGAGATGGGAAAATGATAGATTCGAGAGATTTATCGATGGGGTGCCACTTTTGTTTGTGTATAGCCGACTGGGCTGAGCGTATAGTATTGGATCCAGCACATTGAACTGTGAAGGGGACCCTCCAACTTTGATTTCAAAGAACACTCACCTGAATAATCTATTTAAAACGATTGACCAGACCGGAATTTTACCTCCACAAGTTGGGACCTATCCCTGGGATATGGGTATAATATGGTATAATATTGTATAATGATACGCGAAAAAAAAATGAAACTTGGGACAAGATGTGGCTTGAAGCAGGTGTGTCATGGAGATTCAACCAAGCCGACCCAGACAGCTTGTGATTGACAAGCCGTTGGTGGTTAAAAAACCAAAGACATACACCCTTATTATTGGATACTAGTGGGTTGTCCCATTGTATCCCCATTATATCGCCATGGGAGTATGTAAACCCTACAGGGTTGCCCCCTCCACAGTCATAATTGGATTTATGTACTCTCGATCAACTAGTTCGATATATATATATATGTATATACATATATATATATTATATGTACCATAAATGATGGTGAAATTGGATTCATGTTTATATACCAACTTGGATTCCACATCCCTGGGATGAACTCACATAGATGTGGAATTTCCCATTGATTTCCCTAAGAAAAAGATCTCCTCACGTCATGACCTCGCTGGAACCCGTCCCATTTCAGGTGATAGAGAGGCATGATACTTTACCCAGCAGTTTATGAGTTTATGGTTTCAATGGCATGGTTTTTTGGCATTGACCTATACCACATTTATACCAGATACCCTCTGGTAAACGTTGACATAGCTATTGAAAATGGTTTACCCATGGATAGCATGGTGATTTACCATCAGTTTTGTGTATGTTTACCAGAGGGTAAATCACCATTAATCCCCATTAATTACCATTAATTATCATTAATTATCATTATTAACCACTATTAACCACTATTAACCACTATTAACCACTATATGATCGATTTTTCGTTTACAGGACACATCATTAATATTTGGTACCGCTCGTACCAGGCGGACGGTTTCAACGGCGCCGAGCTCGTGGCGCAACGCCACTTTCCGGCTAAAACGACCCGTTGTCGTGGTTTTTTCGACCCGCTTTGGTAACTGGAACATCACAATTTTTAATATGTAAATCACCATATATAGTGGTTAATAATGGTTAATAGTGGTTAATAATGGTTAATGAAACATCTGGTTGGTGGCAACTGGAACATTTTGTTTGTTTTATGACTTTCCCATCATATTGGGAATGGAATAATCATCCCAACTGATTAATGTTTTTCAGAGGGGTTGAAACCACCAACCAGTTAATATGTAAATCACCATAAATCATCTATAAATGGGCCATTTTCCATAGCTATGTTAAATAACCAGAGGGTATATTTTGTGAGGGAAACGAGGCAAATAACCTCTGTCAACTGGGAGACTACTTCATGATGATATATATATATATAATATACATAGTTGCGAACATCTAGACTACCCAAATAAGAAATATATACTTTTTGTGTATCGCAGATTTAAGCAATGTTCCCCACCAGCATTGTAATCTTCTACTTCACTTTACCATAAGACATAAGTAAACTTCAGCAACTGGTGCAGGCTTTCGTCTGTTAAATTTGAACTTGTTTGATGGATAACGGTTGCTAGGCCCGCAACACTTTTGGGCAGTATAGTATTTTGTTTGACTCTTCAGCACCATGAATCCTCCGTAAGAAAGGAAACAAACAACTGAAATTTTGAGCTCATCAAATGAAGCAGGGATCATTACATACAAGAGCCGGGGTTAAAGTAGCCAAGCATGGCGGTTCAGCAAACAAATAGGGAGAGCCAGCAAATCATGCACCATGCATCCAGGGTGTGCACTGGCCGCAGTGGCATATGGACCAGCCCTGCGCTTAGTGTTCCCATGAAATTGTTGACCACTTCTCAGGCCAGATGATAAACAAACCTGAGACTATTGAGACCTTAATTCTTGTTTTTCTTGTTGTTGCTGCTGCTGTTGTTGTTGTTGCTGTTGGTGTTGTTGTTGTTGTTGTTGCTGTTGGTGTCGTTGGTGTCGTTGGTGTTGTTGCTGTTGTTGTTGCTGTTGCTGTTGGTGTCGTTGGTGTTGTTGCTGTTGTTGGTGCTGTTGGTGTTCCTGTTTATGTCAGGTTCAAGATTTTTTTTTGCGGTTGTTTAAGTTTTCCCTTTTCTCTCTTGATTTGTTGTCTTCTGTTGGTACTGTATTCCTGCTGCTGGCTACCCCATCCTCCAACATATTCAAATCCAAACTGGGTAGCCAAAATGGTGATGTTTTCATCGGGAGCACAATCATAGACTCATAGACCATGGGACATACCGATATACCTGAAAACAGATGGCCATTCAAAAGGTGAAACTGATGAAGTTCACCATAGGAATTTGAGTACCTGGGTAGCCTGGGTACCACATGTTCAGAGCCAGCAAATCCAAGTCCGCAAAGGACAGGAGACCGTCCTGAAATCGCTGGCTGGCATCTCTGACTTGGGCTTGGCAGTGGGCCTTGTGAACCGCAGTGCCTCTGGGATCAGAAGTTAACGAACGAAAATGGCGTTCCCGGGCGTTCCCGGAGAAAACTACAGGAAACAATGGTTTTTGAGGTTCAAATTTCCGTGGGTTCCACCAAAACGCTGAGGTGAATCTGTACCGTATATCTGATCTTTTGAGCACACAGTCGCTCAGCTGCGTTGGCGAGGTTTTTTGTCGAAACGTAAGCTCTTTACAAAGCAGGACCCCGCAGTTAGCCAGCTTGGTTTATAGTTATGTGGCTTTTTGGTGGATACATCTAGAGTTGGATGCATTTGCAACCAACTTGCAACTGGGAGCAAGACTTTGTACTGCGCAAACTGACTAGTGACTAGTGAATGGTTGGTTGATAGGTGAATTATTTTGCAAAGTTGGGGAAAAAAGTCCTGAACATCGATTTGGCTCAGCAGAGTTTCTGAGCTGAGCCATGTATCCGAATCCTTGATAAGCCTTGTGTAGATGGGTATATACAAAGTACCACACTGTGTACAGAACCTACCTAGAGTTATAGTGTATTCAATATGAAAATATGAATTATAATTTTCGAAACGCAGTCTTGACAACTTATGCACAATGTGTGTCCGAGTGTCTGGAGTGCCCGTATACAGTAGTGCTGGTGGCCTGTTTGACTTGGTTTTAAGGACTTTTTTTGCTGAACTGTCCGGCAAATCATGGCTTCATCACTTCAACACCCATGGGGATTTGGGTGTCATGCGCTTAAGTGCAAGTGAACTTACAGTACCAGTAGTACCGCACAAGGTGGTGGCGGAAGTTTCAAAAATAGGAAACCTATAGGAAAGGTTGGTTCTTGTGAATCAGGGATGGCAGAGCGAAGCCACTGATGGACCGAAAGGTGCTTGAGGTCTCCTCTCTTTCTCTCTCTTTCTCTGACTATCTATGTATCTATGTATCTATGTATCTATCTATCTATCGATCTATCTATCTCTCTCTCTTTTTCATCTAATTACCTATCTAGTTACCTATCTATCTATCTATCTATCTTTCTATCTATCTATCTATCTTTCTATCTATCTATCTATCTGTCTATCTATCTATCTATCTATCTATCTATCTATATCTCTATCTTTCTATCTATCTATCTATCGATCGATCTATCTATCTATCTCTCTATCTATCTATCTATCTATCAATCTATCTGTCTGCCTATCTCTCCTAGTCATTCAGTGTAATGTAGTGTGATGTAGTGTAATTTAGTGTAGTGGAGTGTCCTGGAGTGTCATGTAGTGTCATGTAGTGTACTGGCGTGTAGTGTAGTGTAATGTCCTGTAGTGTAGTGTCTTGAAGCGAAGCGACATCTGAACCTCCAAAAGTGGTTCGAACCCCTAGTGTTTTGTACATGTTGACTTCGAAACCTGCTTCGCGCCACAACGGCGTGCACTTTTTCAACGTCCGAACCTCCAGAAGTGGCGCGAACATGTGGTGTTTTGTACATTTTGACTTGGAAATGTGCTTCGCGCCACAACGGCGTGCACTTTTTCAACATCCGAACCTCCAAAAGTGGCGTGAACATGTGGTGTTTTGTACATTTTGACTTGGAAATGTGCTTCGCGCCACAACGGCGTGCACTTTTTCGACATCTCAACTTCCAAAAGTGGTCCGAACGTGGTGTGCTTTGTACATTTTGACTTGGAAATGTGCTTCGCGCCACAACGGCGTGCACTTTTTCGATATCTCAACTTCCAAAAGTGGTCCGAACGTGGTGTGTTTTGTACATTTTGACTTGGAAATGTGCTTCGCGCCACAACGGCGTGCACTTTTTCGACATCGCAACTTCCAAAAGTGGTCCGAGACCGCCAGTTTTTAACACTTTTGACTTGGAAATGTGCTTCGCGCCACAACGGCGTGCACTTTTTCGACATCGCAACTTCCAAAAGTCGTCCGACACTGAGGTGTTTTGTACATTTTGACTTCAAAATGTGCTTCGCCGCCACAACGGCGTGCACTTTTTCGACATCGCAACTTCCAAAAGTGGACCGCTCCTCTAGTGTTTTGTCCATTTTGACTTGGAAATGTGCTTCGCGCCACAACGGCGTGCACTTTTTCGACATCGCAACTTCCAAAAGTCGTCCGACGCTGAGGTGTTTTGTACCTTTTGACTTGGAAATGTGCTTCGCGCCACAACGGCGTGCAATTTTTCATCGCTCCTGTGGCCAGCTGGCTCCGCACCCGCCGCTTTAGCGAGCCTACTTTTCGACCCTCCGGAGCCACAAATCATTGGAAAAACACAGTGTTTCGCGACTTTCCTACCTTTTCGCGCATCTGTATCTTCTTTTTTCTGACTCTTTCTCTTCTACTCTTCTCTCTTCTAATCTTTCTCTTCTCTCTGCCTCTGCCCTGCTCTGCTTTTCATCTGTCCATATTGTCGGAAGTTTGACTTCTAAACTTCCTTCGAATATAGCTTATTAGCATTAGCATCAACTAATCGTGTGCAAGTGCAATTTATGCAATGTCTCAGGGTTTAGCTCCCACCACCCTTGACCCCAAGACAGAAAACAAATGCATTTTGATACACGGCTGATATGAAGTTTAACGGTGGGCTAACTACTTGAACGTGTATCTACTGATGTGCATGAATCCTCCTAAGGGAATTGGATGCGCCTATGTGTACATACATATCACACACTTTCTGGTTCTCGTTTCTCTGCAACTCATCTGTCTCTTCTGGGTCTTTGAAGGAAACCAATATCTAGTGAATGGCCCAATGACATTCATTGACAAGGTAGGACACTTAGAGCAACGTCAGCTTCCTGTTTTTTTTTCCCGGCGGCTATGGGCATTGACTTGGCACCATGGTACACACCATGGAAAAATTGTGCCAGGAATGTTCTGCCATTTTTTTGTTAAACACTGCGGCCTTACACTGCGACCTTGTTATTAAACATGTTTTTTACATTTTCCCATTGAGGACACCGACCTTTATCAGGTCTATGTTTTTGCCCCTTGTGAAGCAAAACCAAAGTATCTGTTAGGTACCTCCAATTTAAGGAGCTGACCTAAATTGAGAGTTTCCTGCCTGGTTTAAGTACCTGATTGTTGCACTCTTTCACTCCATTGAACTAGCAGGCAGCTACATATTGATGCATATTCCGCATCAAAACAGCTGCTTCGACTTTGAATTTAATCTCGTTGGATTCAGTAGTGAGGTGGGTTTCGTATGTTTCGTAGATCTGGTCTCTTTTTGAATCTACAATAAGTATCAATAAGTACCAAGAAGTGGGATAATCATCCTAGTTAACAAACTTTTCTTACAGAGGTGCTTCAAGCACCAACATGCAGCAACTAGACATCCAGACATTCAGCTCATCTCTTTCTCCAAGGCAGCCGTACAAACGTCTCACAGTGGTGAAGTCCTTTCCAACCAAGTTGCCTGGTGCTGTTTTTTTCGGCGAGTGCTTGGTGGTGTATAGTGATATGGGATAATGATAATCATATATAATAAAAATATGTGATAATACTATAGTGGTACAGTATATGTATATATATATATATTGTAAATCCATGTTTATGTTGGAAGATCAACAAATTCATCAACAAAAAAATCAACAAATCTCCCAGGGCATGACTCTTTAGTTTTCTTTTGAGAGGATTATCTAAGAATTCGAATGTCAGCCGATGAGAAAGTCATGGCAGATGTCGCAGCACGACTCAGATGTCCCAAATGTCCACTGCTGGGTTGGTGAAAAATGCGTTTTAACATTTCATTGAAGCACCAAACTGTGGCAAAATGTTATATATAAAAACATATACTGTGCTTCTGCCATGTGGGTGCATGCTGCACGTGCATTGTTTCTCAGAGTTGCAAGGGTTCCTTCTAGGAGTTGCAGTCCAGGAGGTTGTGTTTAGGTCAGCATGGAGAATCTGTTGCAGCCGCCGCTCAGCCATCACTCACAGATTGCATGCAGCAGCTCTGTCGGGCCTTCGGTGTGGATCCAGCGCCACATGAGTCACAGGACATGGCTGTAACAGCACCAATTTTTCGCATTCATATGCCACAGAGTCACAGCCCAGCAACAGAAGGGTATAGGCTTCCATGCAAAGACATCCAAGACAGCACCCAGGTGGCCGCAGCCTTGCCCCATGGCTCACGCACCTGCGGCGACTCCAGTGGCTTTAGCAGAAACCATTGCAACTTTGCAAGCAGACCTTGCCAGAAACAGAGCGGCCGGAGTGCAAGCCAAGCATGCCAGATACCGAGCAAAGAAGGAACCAGCCTCTGGAGGTTTTAGCCCTCTTGCTTGCAAAGCGATCGTTGCCGTCTATGTGTTGTCGGACTGCAATATGGAGCTAGCGCTTCGCTTCGCTGCCCTGTGGCCAGCAGTCAAGCCGACCTCAGGGACAACACGGGTTGTGGTGGAAGATTTGTTTTTGAGCACCACAGACTTAGACTTGCAGCACATTTTTTCACCTTCCGCGACTCCGTGGGCACGGCCAGTGCGGCATGCAGCCGCTTTTCTGGCAGAGGCTAACACTTTCAACTGGGTTCTGGCTTGCAACCACGTCGGTGTAGCACCGCTATCGCTGGATGTCTATGCCACGTGGGAGAAAGCGCGGTTTGGCAGCCTCCTGGAGGGTTTGCCGCCTCGCCGGCATGTGAATCAATGGGTGCAGCGCTTCCGAGCCAAGTGGAACCTGCGGCGCCGAGTCCTACGTCCACAAGTGCACAGGGACCCAGTCACGGTGCAGGCTAAGGCGCCAAGCACGGTCGTGTTTTTGCGACCGTTTTCCGGCTCCAAAAATGGGGCCGGGCAAGCTCATTGCAATTCGGACCTCCTCCCACATGTGGTCATGTTTTCCTAGCCTCCCTGCTCGGCTTCGCCCTGTCAGGTGAGAACCTTTTGGCAGTTACTCTCCTACTACGTGAACACGAAGTTTGTGGACAAGACTCCGCTGTTTTTGAATTTAGACGAAACTAGCATTCCCTACACCATGCTGCAATTGCCCGGCTGCGTTGCTTTGCCACGACATGCCAGTCTTCGCATGCCTGTCCGGAAACAAGACGTGCGAGGGGCTTTGACCTATGTGAGCATCATTTGTGATGCGCCGCATATTCAAGGCAAGTTGCCGCACTACCTTTTTGGGACTGAGACCAAGCTGACACAGAAGTTGCTGAGGGGCCAGCGGCGCTTGCCACAAACGGCGCTGCACATAGTACGTCAGAAAAGTGCTTGGACATCCTGCAAGAACATCACCAAGATTGTGCGCGATCTAGGCAAAGTCTTAAAACCTTATCCATTTCAACCTATCTTGTTGCTGGATGTTGCGTCCTCACATCTCGCAAAGGAAACCATGGTGTGCGCTCGGCGCAATGGTGTCCAGCTCCTGTACATACCAGCCGGATGTACAGACAAAATCCAACCGTTAGATATAGCAGGTTTCCACCCATTGAAAACACATTTGAAGAGGAAGTACCAGGAACTGAGGGCAGGTTCCTGTGAGGGTTTGATAGACCCGTTAGCCTGGCTTTTTGAACTCATGCAGTGTCCCAGCTACTTTGCCGGCAAGAGTTGGAAACGCACTTTTGAATCTGTTGGTGCGGCGAAGCCGCCCGATACGGCGCACCTCCATACGGAGTTGCGAAAATTTATGGATATGCCACTGCATATGCCTCCAGGCAGCAAGCCCTCTAAAGAAGCCATGCAAAGCATCTGGCCTGAGCGACGCCGTATGGCGTACGCGTACACGGCTCTGTTGTGACGAGGTGCGAGCCGGGAGAAAAATTGCGCGGCAGAGCACACATTGGCAGACATACTATCAGGGTACATCGGTGCATGACCATTTTGTCACATTCTCGTAGCCATGTTTCTGGGGTCGTGAACAGGGGTGAAAAGGAGGTACCAGGCAAGCACAAAGAGAACACAGGATCATCTTGAGGACTGCATGCAGTTTGAGTGGAGCAAGCCTGTTGTTCGCCCGCCTTGAGTGCCATGTCCGCTGCTGATGCAAACGCCGCGGCAGCTGCAGCCCCACCGGCCGCGGCTGATAGGGTTGCTGTGCTGAAGGAAGAGCGCAAAAATTTGAAACGCCAGTTAGCAGCAGCCACCAAAGAACTACAGAACCAGGAGAGTGCATGTAAATGCATGGATACGGTGTCTTTTCGTGAGTGCAGGTGGGACATGTGAACGCTGAACCCATGTTGAAAGACATGTACTCCATAGCCTGCAGGAAAGGAAACGAAGACGTCTTCTACGACAAGCAGGAAAGCTGGATGTGAGTGATTTGACGTGGCTGCTGGCACGTCGCATGCATCCAATGGCAAGCCCGCATGAGTAGAGTCAAGCCGTGCACTATGTGGAAAGCGCCATGCCAAAGACATAGAGCGCTTGGAGTGAGAGCGGCCATGTGAAGGTTCGAAAGCACCATGCCAAAGGCATGGACACTAGGAGGGAAAGCTGGCAACCGCAGACTTGCAAGCGCCATGGTCAAGACATAGAGCGCTTGGAATGAGACCATGTCAAGGCTGAAAATCCCAATGCCAAAGGCATAGCGCGGCAGGAGTGAAAGCTGGAAACCGCAGACTTGCAAGCGCCATGTCGAAGACAAAGCGCTTGGAAGACATGCGCGGTCCAGAGACCCCATTTAGAAGACATCCAGGGATACAACGCTAGATAGACAAGATATCTCCCCAAGAATCTTCCCACACCCCACCTCCAAAACATCACCTCCCCAAGAATCTTCCCACACCCCACCTCCAAAACATCACCTGACCCCCCCTGGTATATTATTATAATTCCCAAACGGGGTATGCGGTCCCGCTCCTATAAATTCACAGGTAAAGTGGTCCCGCCGACGGCGGGACCGGTCCCGCCTGCAACCTGGAATCGTGGGAATTCCCACATTTTGCGGTCCCGCCGCGGTCCCGCTGCGGTCCCGCCTATAGTAATTGCGTACTGTCGCGCGCAGCAGCAACAGCAGCTTTAAGACATTACCCCCATGCACATCCTTCCCATTCCATCATTTGCAGCGGCCATGTTCCCACATCACATCTACCTCTTTTCCACCCCTTCTTCCAGCTTCCATTCCTTTTTTTTGCAGTGCTGTCGCAGCATGGCGTCTGTGGATCGCACGTGTGCGAAGCGGCAGCCGGAGAGAACTGCAGTCACGTCGGGTGAAAACATGGGCCGTGAGCGGTTTTGTTTCTGGGGCAGACCGTCTCTGTAGATATTGCTACTCAGACACGTGCCTCTACCAGTCACATTTCTCTAGCGGAAATCATCAGCAGCATTCCTGGGTGTCAACGGTCGACACGCTTTTTCCAGACCTGTGGGCCATATGCACGTCCAGCTGTTTGTGACAATGGAATCCTAGCAGACTATCTGCTCCATGTGCTTTTTTCATGCTCAAGCCTGTGACCTGCATTCTGCTTTAAGGACGTGGTGGTGAGTTCCTTGCTGTTTCTAGTGTCAAGCCCTCTCCAAAGGAAATGGGCCACCTGACAGCAAAGCGGGGTGTCGCAAGCAACTTACGTAGCACATCGCATTGGAGCCTTGCACCCAAGACATGCCATGCAGACAGGATGTTTCCGCATTGCACTTGGGCCGCGGCCGAGCCATGAGATCCTCCACGACACGGAAGCGTGCTGCGTGCGGTTCGTTGCGGGAACTGCTGCAAGCCAACCAGCTCGAGGTGCCGAAATTTCGGGGTGAATTGTCTCGCGCCGACTTTGCAGCGCAACGACAGCGCCTGGAGAACTGCACCTTGTCTCCGAGTGACACTCAGAAGCTGCGAGACATCATTGACCTCTATGAGGTGCCTCACCTGTTTGTCGGGTGCTAAAGACTGCGACCCATTGTTCGGGTCACTTTTCACATTTCTCACCCTGCTGCGACTTGCTCAGCCGTCCTGGTTGGTGCTACCATTCGCTGGGTTTGCACGGCCTTCTGGTTCACACTGTTTCTAATCAGCTTTGCAGGGCGTTGCAGCAGCAGACGAAGCTGGTGCAGCAGCATCGACCCAAGAGGATGTGGATATGGCAGCAGCCCCAGGACCAGGTCAGACCGCAAGTAGTTGCCATTCTGTCCCTGCATCCGGGACGGTGCTTTCCGGAGGGTAAGAGACCTAGAGCAGTGGATGGACATGACATGCATCAGTGACAGTAGGCAAGCCTCAGCCTTGCATGCAGATGGGAGAGACTGAACTAGAAGGGGTATAGTCATGAGTCCTAGTCGCAGCCACTTCATTGTTGCACATTTTTCACAGGTGATGCCCGCCCTTTTCGTCTTCGAGCACGAGCAGTGTTGGTAACCTACAATTCCTTGCAGCTGCAGCTGGCGGATTTCGATGAGTTCCTTACTTGGCTTGCAACGTGTGAGTGGGTCGGCAAATGGAGTGCCACGATGGAATCAAGTTTGCGTTCGGAGGATGCTGGCCGTCTACATATTCATTGCTTCCTGGAATTCGCCCGCCCCGTCGACTGGCAATCATGCACGGCGCTCCGTTTCAAGGGCATTCAGCCCAATCTTTCCCCATGTCGGGCACGGGGCGCACGCTGGCGAGATGCGGCAGACCAAGGACATTTTTACGTTTGGGCTGCAAAGGTGCATCTCCGTTGGGTTACCTTGTAACGACATTCTATCTCATGTTGAAAGTTGCAGTTCATGTAGGCCACCTTTGTCACTAATCCGATCGTGTGGCAGCAGCATGACGTAGCTTCTAGTTGATCATCAGTAGACCTGGCAGCTTTGCAGCAGATCGTGTTTGCAGTCAAACATTTTGTAGGCCACCTTGGTCTGGGCACCCACGAGCCTGATTTGGATGAACTGAACTCATTGGACCGCTATCTACGTGGTTGGTCTTGCATAGGCAATCCTTCTTCTTTGTACGCATTGATTCAAGATTTATCACTATCGATATATCGAAATATATCTCTGCATATAAACATATATATGTGGTGATCCATCTGAAGGTCCTGATAACGAGTTTCAATTGCAAACACAGTTCATTTGTGCTGGGACCCCGCGCGAAAGTTTGTTTGCGAAACAGAAACTGTTTGCTTCGCGAAAGTGTCGCGAACGGTGGCTAGAATGCATCATCCTCATTGTCTACAGTACCGCTTGTTAAGGGCTACCACCGCCTCCCTGCTGTCGGGGGTCCGGCAGGAGACTGGGACCGCACATTGGCTTTTCCCTTCATAGGTAGCAGCCAGCTTCCGAAGGTCACGCTTCGCCAGAGCCAAATACCATGGTGGCCAAGCACATCCTTGCACCTGCCGCTGGTCCTGCCTAACGTTGCTTTCTGAAGTCTCAAGAAACAACCGCGAAATGCAGCAGCCAAGCTTCGAACAGGGACACTTTGCAAGAGCCAAACACCAAGGCACCTGGTGTTTGCTTTTCCTTTGCCGCCCCCCCGTGCTCCTGGCTGTGGTCTGCGGAGACAAGTCTTTGCACGACAGTTGCACGCAAGTGCTGCAAAAGACTAGGTAAAGTCAAAGGGCATTTTGAAGGGCGTGGCCCAGTAAGCCTTGCTAAAAAGTTCCTCAGCAGCAAGAACCTGTTCGCGAAGGGGATTCCGTGATGCTAGCAGAATGTTTGCAAGGCTATGAAGCACTTTTCCGTGCTAATTTGGTGTGATTTGGCCCGTGCCGATTGAATCTTCATAAGCGGAGTTATTGCTCAACATGGGTTGCGCGAAAGATACACATGCAGTTCGCGAAGGATGCGCGAAAGAAACTTTTTGCTTCGCGATAAATGGCCGTTTGCAGAGACAGGAATTGACAGCAAGCGGCATATGTAGATTGTTTCGTCGCCAGCATCACATCTAATCTAATTGTCTGGACCCACCACCAGATCATTTCCTCGGCTGACATGCCTTGAGTGCTGGGTGGAATTCACCCGGGCGATCTGTGCAGGTAGGAACCCATTTCGTTGCCACCAGCTCCTACGAGGCGTTCAAGGACTACACAGTGCAGGGCAGATGGCTGGATGCGCTGTGGAGTGGGCACAAGCTTTCTCATCAGCAGTACCTGCAGTACGCGTGCCTGGGTTAAGCAGCATTGTTTTCATTCCGGAGATACATCAGGGTCCACATTTATTGGACGCTCCATGGCTGCATGGCGATCAGCATATGTAGATATATAGAGACATTTTTCGAGAGATTTAGATACACACGCACACACACACATATATATATATATCTCTTCGAGACAGATCTATACAAAGATATGTCTTTCTATATCTATCTATATCTATCTATGGATATATATATCTATTTATATATATATACATGGACCCAGGGGTGCGGATGCCAAAGACTCACTTTAGGCGGTGTCATTGCAGTTGACTTGTCAATAGCTGTTTATCGATCCCCCTTGATTGAAGCTCTATATGGAAGGGAAGAACCCATGTCCGGATGAAATGATTAAACCCATACTATAAATGTTTCTTTATCATATTTTATGTGGTCTGGAATATGGGTACCATAATATACAAGTAATAAAGTGGGATGGAGAAACCTTAAAATTCAACGAGGTCTGCATACCACTATTTATAAACACATATGCGCACGAAAACATGATCAGAATTCCTTGTCCCGATTCTGCTGGGGCGCGAACGGTTCGCGAAAGGGTGGCGTGCGGGCAGTTTTCGGGTACCAGAATATTGACCAACTCCGAAAAGATTTGTATGAAATGGAACATAACATAAACCCAATGTGAATTTCAGTGGGACCACTTCATAGCAGGTCCATTTCATAGAATAGGGAACGTCACAAACACCTATGTTGTTTATAAAAGTGCTGCTTCGAGTCTGATAACGTGTCCGAACATAAGCAATAATTTGGCCGTAACATATCTTCAGATACCTTCAAATATCCCCCTTGGAATTTCCTCTACAGAATCAAGAACGTTGGGTCCTGGAAAATGGTGCGTTTTAACCCCCTGCTTTGTTTAGGGGTACCTACCCAGTGTCAACGCTTTCAATTGTATAGAGGACCTTGGGGCCTCTGATTCTATAGAGATTTCATGTTGAATACAGCACTGAGTCCTAGTCAGCAGAAAGCCTTAGCCACTGCGATTCTATAGTTGGATCTGTTCTCTTTGGGTGTATGTCATGTTCTTCAATTCTATAGAGAAGTATTGGCAGAACAAATTTCCCACAACAATTCGTTCATCATCATTGATCATCCTTGTATATAATCGAAGAGGTTGACAGTGAACACTTGGAGCCTTTGAGCTCTATAAAATTGGGAATGCATAAGGTAAGGTAGGCAAGAGCAACTGGAGCATTCAGGTCAGCTGTCGATGAATGACACTTGGGGAGCCTGATTTTATAGAAGGCCAACTAACCCCCCCAACCAAAAAACGGCTCTACGAGAGTGACTTGGGGGCAGCGATTCTAAAGAGATTGTCAACTTGAAAATACCTTGGGGTCTCTGATTCTATAGATGCATTTTCAGAAAGAGGGCCAATGTCTCCAGAATTATCACTATAAAAGTGTCAACACCGTGTGCAGCAGGTTGCAGGTGCGCTTGGGCTATATCACCCGCAAACGCGCTGTGGAAGCAGTCATGCAGCAGGAGAGCGAAAGTCGCCTCCGACGTGAGCAGGCCGAAGTGGTGGCTCAGCTCCAGCCATTGCAAAAGCCATTTTTGCCAGAAGTGGTTGCCCGAGTCGAAGACTGGGCCAAACAGTATTCCATTTTAGATTCTCGGTACAAATTTCTTGTGCTCCGGGCGCCTTCGCGCGCTGGCAAAAGCACCTTGGCAAAATGCCTCCATTTCGTTTTGCCTACGTATATCCAAAAGCCTCCTTTCATTCAAACTGTCCAGGGTGCCACGGCCGCTGAGTTACAACATTACGACAGAGATTCTCACGGCTTTATCCTGTTCGACAATTGCAATTCTATGTCCTTTGTGCTATCTCAGCGGGCCTTATTTCAGGCAAACCCAGACTTCCATCGCTTAGGCCAGTCACAGACGAACATATTCTCATATCAGGTTTATTTATTCAGGGTCCCCATTGTGATCACCATAGATGAATCAACTGACTGGGATGATGACGAACCATGGATTCGCGAGAATCAGCATTGGTGCAGCTTACCGGCCCGTGTTATCATTTGGAGTAACAGCCTGCATGGGGTAGAGAAAGGCATGGCTTGGGTTAGGTTTGTGAAACCGCCTGCGGGGGAGATTTGGGTCTACAGCTGCTTGAACCCTCAATGTATATAAAAGCGACCCCAACCAAAAACATGTTGTAGCCAAAAGCTAATCTCTCATTAGTTTTGGATGACCCCGTTTTCTCTTTTAAGACATGATGCCAATGGTACCAAACCGAGCCCTCTACTTAGACCTTTCAGAATATCATGGAGCACGCATGTCTGTTTTGTTATTTTTGTATATTTTTGTTACGGAGCTCTTACGTAGCGCGTATTGTGAAAAGTGTGTGTGAATTCAGCCAATATCAACCAGTGTTTGGGTCAAAATTCATGATCAACAATCATTTCAAGACACTGGGTCGACCTTTGTTCATTTTCTTTCATGGAAAACCCTCGGGTAATCAAACACAGCAAAGTCCGGAAATCCATTTACTGCGAAAATCATCGAACGAAATTGTGGAGTTTCCCCATGTTGAATCAGCAGTTCTTTTGGCAATCTGGGGGAACCAAACTAAGACTACCCCCACAACGCATGCGGAGAGCGACGCTGAGGTTAGGTTTCGTCCATGGTGCATACCTGGCTGTTGGCACTGCTGAGAATCAGGTGGCTGTGGATTTCTGGTTGGGTATAAAACTCATCCTCCTATCATAGCACCCAATACGTCCCAAAGATGTGTGTTTATTCCCAAAAGAAAACCATGGTTTCGCTTGTGATTTATATGAGCGGGGAATGGGATATATAATCCTTTGCCATTTGTGAATATGTCATAACCAGCTCTTGTTGGAAGGGTAGGATCCCCCAGTGACGCGCTATCTGATGCTGGACCTTGTGGAATTGTTCATTGTCATCAGGAGATCTTTGGATCCCTACTGGGCAAAATTTGGTTGGGGTCAATTGGGTCAATTTGGGTCAATGACTCAATTTTCATCCGGAAATGCAGCAATCATGATATGATATCGCCATCGCACTTGCAAAGTCACATGTTTATGATTAAAGTGGTCTCTGAGGTTGACCATCCCAAATCACCCAATTATGTGATGTTATTATTTGTATTAAATCATCCCATATGCACTTCGTTTATAGGATGGCACCTCAGGATCTAGGAACAATCATCGGGGCCATCGGGGTTGCTCTGGAAAATTTTGCTGGTTTATACAACCGTTAGTTGTTTCCCAAATCTCCATGTATCATCATATAATATAATATATATATATTTCCATCTCTGTTACAGATTGTTCCCTTTCTGTTCCTGAAATTCTCGATGTTTGTTAGTTACCCTCTGGCCATTTAACAGCTAAATCATCAAACTATAGTGGGCCATGGCTTCCATAGCAAGCTCTAAAATTACCAGAGGGTTCCATTCATATCCCCATGTTTGCTGGTCAAATCCCTATTAATCGCCGTTGAATCACCACTAAATCCCATTGAATCACCATTAATCCCATTAAATCACCACTAAATCCCATATTACTTTTACATATTGTTATTGTTATTGTTTATTATTATTGTTACTATTGTTATTATGAAATCCCTTATTCAATCCCATTAAATCACCCTACAAAATCACCATCAGATCCCAGAAAATCTCCCTTTTCGTGTTGCCAAAGATTCACAACACCCCGGGGCACCGGTGTTCACCGCCTCGGCGCCCAGTTGCCCTCCAGGTGGAGACCTTTGGGTTGAAGCGCTTGCTGCGCAGCAAGAGCAGAGGGACTCTTGGAGCCAATGGGACTTGGTCAGTTGGACAGATAGCTAAGTTGGTTGAAATAGTTCCTGTAATTGCTTTATCATGCTTATATACATATATATATATACATGTATATGTACGTATAATATTAGGATTTCCTGAAATGAGGGTACCCCAGTAGCTGGATGGTTTATAATGGGAAACCCTATGAAAATGGATGATTTGGGGGTACCCCATTTTCAGGAAACTTCCATATATATATATATACTTATACAGTAAGTAGATTTAATGGAGTTTACAAACCAACTTATAGTATTGGGTGCCCACATTGTGGATGAGTAAACAACATAACATGGATCATGGGTGTAGATTGTGATAGAACATCATAGAACTTGAAAACCGGGCTATCATGAGTGTAGATTGTAGATATTTTTTGACCATGAAACTTGGATTTGTTGGAGTATAAAACAACTATTTGATGAGGATATTAATCATAAATAATGTTTGATCACTACATAGTATCATTTTGCGGGGGTATGATGGGGCTATCATGGGGTAAAGTGGGATCAATCCTTCGAAATGGGTGTAAACTTCAGTCAATGGTCAATGGGGATATCATTGGGATATCCCCGGCGCATAAGATGACCATTGCACGTCTTCCAGGACGTACATTCTAAGATTCTATGTGCATGTCTGGTATCGTCAATGTTCAGCATTAAGTGGAGAAGCATCTCGTAAGAACCTATCAGAAACTCAATTTCAGTATATGTTTGGTGATGAATCATTTGACCATGTCTTTTTCAAAGCTTCGCTACAAGCAAGCCCCTGAGATAAGCAAATCCAGGATCATATTGCGGGTTTCTTATGTCATGGGGGATCCCCAAGTCACGATGGTTGTTTCAGTACTAAGTCATGGTCATTCATGACTTGGATGATTTTGGGCTAGCCCCATGACTTCGGAAAGCTCCCTATAGGATTTCCGTGATAATTGTTTGCATGTGTTTATCATGTCGATGTCAAATATTACAACAAGACATTATCTTTCTAAACTTGAGAAGCTTATCCATGACCCAGAGTATTTGGGGAGATATTTTGAATAGCCATTGGCACTTGGGGCAAAGCATTTTTAGCCCATTGCTGCTGGAATCATTGTTCTGGTGTTTTTTAATCATCATTGTGACCGTTTGTTTGAGGATGTTTCTCTGTGAACCTACCAATGGATAGATCGGATAGATCCTGATCCTCATGGTTACATGGTTTCACCAACCGATTTCGTGGTCAATGTTGATAACCCAATACAATATATATATATATATATATCATACAATTATTCACAATATATATATATATAGGCAAGTTCCCCTATATCACTGGGGTATTTCAACATGATTGGCATCATTTTGGCTCGCCGAGGCAAGCCAGTATGATCATTCCCATCGAGAGCCGTGTGGTGGATTTCTTGGAGTTGCCAGGCCAAGGTTTGGCGGTGGCAGGTCTACAACATGCCGCCTGACGCAGGAAGAAACGGCTCGGTGACATGGGATTTCTCTACAAAACTGGTGCTCAACGTAGGGAATGATGGAATGGAATGATCCATAGAAACGAACTTATATCTATTAATGGATCATATCCCTATTAATGGAATGATCATATCTATGGAATGAGACATATCTATGTATGTCTATTAATCATAATTCCATTCCCCCTTTCCCATGCCCATTCCCTACGTTTAGCACCAGAAAAGGAGGGATTTAATGCGATTTATACCTCTGAAAAAATTACAATTCAAACCTGGAAAAATCATAACATAATCCATTTTGAGTGGTTTCACTTAATCTTCCAACCCCTATCTGCCAGGGTCTATGTTCATTTACCAAGGGGTTTGTTTCGTGATTCATAGCAATCCCCTCGGCCGTGGCACATGCCACACAGGCGCCAAATCTCATCACCACTGCTTCAACAATCTTAAAGACCAGCATTTGTCTCTTGCGCACATATTATACATATATATATATATAGATGTTGTTATTTATATATATATAGAGTTATATATATATACATATGTATGTGTATATATATATAGACATTAAATCGATAATATTATATATATATATTCGCATTTACGTATTGAGACGGGGAAAGCTACTGGCCACATCTGGCCACTGTTTTTTTTTTTTTGCGGGGTATCCAAGATAAACAATGGAAGGGGTGACGTGGAATTTGGAAGGTCTCTCCTGCAGTTCTTGAACCTATCCAATGTTCACCCTAACATAGCCTAGCTATGAAAATGCATCACTATAACAAATAGGAAAATCATGGAATGAAATTGGCCATGGCCTTTACAGTGCTTTACAGCTCCTGAGGCTCCTCCAGTTTCCCATGTGATTCAGTTCAATCGGCACTATAATTGTCAGCTAGTGATCCGATTGAAGGATTCAAAAACATCACCCTGGTTGGAACCCCACAATCCAATGGTTTCAGATGATGAACCCCCCATGTAGCCATGATATTTAATGATATAAATCGTGGCCATATATTGTAAGGCAATATTTTGATGCAAACAAATGGTTGAAAAATATCCATTTCATCATTTCCTGGCTTGGTTTCAGGCAGACCGGCAGACAGGAAACCCTGCAATGTTCTGCCGTTGAAGGGTGGTGCCCCCAGTTAACCTAGTTATCAACAAACTTAGCATCAATCACATATCAATTACATATCAATCCATATTTCTGCTGGTTAGATCGGCACAAAATCCTGGAGACAAGCAATTTTTTTCAGCCTTGCCGCCTTGCCACCGCTGGAGGTTCACTTCTTCAGCGCTTCCGCCACGCAGTTGACCAGTTCCCGACACACATCCTTTGCCAGTCTGAGTTTCTGCATGGAGAGTGCAGGCGGATCAAACCGCCACAGGCTGAAGCCGGTGGAAACTTTCCATGACCAGCAGCTTAGCTAGGCTTTGTGGGAGATATATCGAACTAATTCGAACTAGTTCATGGATGCTCATGAATTTTTGAGGATGTTGATGGATGTTAATGTTAAAGTATGTTGATTGATGTCAAAACTTCTCAAAGTATAATGATGGATGTGTAGTTATGATTGTTGATGTATGTTGATTGATGTCAAGGGCTGCTAATGGATTTGATTGGTGCTAAGTAATTTTGATGGATGTTAACGGGTGCTAATGGATGTTAACTAATGCTAGAGGTGTTTGATTGATGTGAATGGATGTTAATGGTTGTTAATTGGTGTTACTCGATGTTGATGGATATTGATATTGAGCCAATGGAGATTGTAATGTTCCGTCCGGTTTTGCACGCAAACATTATTTTTGATAAAAACAACAACAACACTTTTCTTTAAAAAAATAGCTTAGCTAGCCTGAGCACAAGGTTGACTGAGCCAGGTCTTTTTTGAACAAAAAGTGTGGTGCCTCAGCACACGTTGATTAAAAAAACGGTATGCCAAGAATTCTTGCCACAATAGTGGAAACTTCCATACATTGGTTCAGAATTTGGACCACAGAAAAAAACCGCATGGAACACCTTTGATTTGGGCCACAAAAAGGACTGTATTCAGTAGTATGTATGGCAATCTCAAAAAGATGGAACTGTGTTTTCAGGATAAATGATGTTTCCTGTTTCCCACATATTAGGTTTTCAATTTTTCGATCTTTTTGGGGGTTGCTAGAAACATCATTTTTGGGACCTCATTTTTCAGGTTTCATGCTAGTAAACCAAAGGCTGTGTAATTCTGTTCAGCCAGAACCTGAGGTCGACGGCCTGCATTTAGCTAGTTCTATCCCTGTGTACTGATTGCAACATGCTCCATTTTTTCCTTGGTGAATGGTTCATACTCATACCTGATCAAGTTGAAATGTGTATTTGTTTTGCAGTGGAGATGTATGTGTATGTATGTATAATATGTTGATGGATGTGCACGTATACCTGTGTATTATATATATATATATATATTTAGGTACATACAATACATAGACTTGTATGTGTACATTCACATCCAACATGATTGAAATTGCTGAAGCACATTCAGTCAATGAGATTGTTCATGTCCAAAAGCACGTTGGTATGAGCATCTCTAGGATGTCTAATCAAAAATATGGATGATGATTGGCACCGGCAACCAAGGATGGCAATGGGAAACCCAATGTCACTGATAAACTTTATGATAGAAATCTCAGCGATCTCGAGCCCAGCAGGGTTGCTACAAGCTACTAGTATTACAGTCAAATGGCCGCCAGTGATATTTCATGAAACTGCTCAATTCAATTTCTACAATTTTTGCCACTGTACTCATTTCATTTCAACCAGTTTACCCCCTCTGGCAACCTTTTTTCTTCCAGGTTGCTTCACCTTTTATTTGGATTGTCGATCCAGCTGTGTTATTGTGCAAGCAATTTGCAGACCACAACAAAATCCCCAAACTAAAAAGCAAACAAATTCCCCATTCAGCATTTGAAAGCAGCGGTTAAATAAATAGGTAAATCATCGAAATAAATGGGCCATTTTCCATACCGCCACAAAGATGCAGACCAGTTTTTCCAGGATGTCCAAGATGATGATTCCCCTATCATTTCTAGGTGTCCAACTTTTCTACCTTTTTGCGCTTTGCTACATAGCAGTCCCATCATCCACTTGTTGTCTACCATTTAGATCCCAATTATATTCACCATTATGTGTGTATATATATATATATTATTCCCAATAAAGCACCGCATACATTGATATGAGTTTTATATGAATATACAAAAAGATGTATACATGTATACATGTATGTGTATACATGTATATAGCTTCACCCCAACACACACATATATATATATATATATATAACACATTATGATATTTGTTTTAGCTCAAATTTTCTTTTCCAATCGCTATGTATACATATACACTTATATGCTTATATATTTAAGTATGCAAAAAAATGGGTATATATCCATATATGTATGATATATATATATACATACACAGATGTGAAATACATATATATATATACACACATATCTTGATGGCGTTGGCAGCACCAGGCGTCAGGGGCCGCATCTTGGGCTTTCAGCCCTTGTCACAACAGAGGGTCATGGTGGCGCTGCCGGTGCGCAGCGCGGGGGGGCGCAGGCACAGGTCGTGGATAGATTCATTGGATTTTCGGGGAGAAGCTACAGCAAACCGTATTTTTTTTCCATGAAATAGCGGGGTTTCCATAAGTGGGGTTACTCCCAAATGGATCCAAATGGATGGTTTATAATGGAAAATCCTACTAAAATGGATGATTTGGGGGTACCCCCATGACTTGGGAAATCTCCACATGGGGATGTCCTGCAAAGTTTCCCTGAAAATCGAATGACAGATGGTGAATAGATGCTTAATACGTGGCTCATACTTGTCAGATGATTGATAGATGGTTGTCAGATGGCTTAGCATGTTCCTTCGGTACGGTTTGGTGTTCGGAACGCGCGTTTTGAAAACTCGCGTTCCAGAACGCGCGTTCTGAGCGGATCCTTTTTCCAATAACTAACCCAAAGTTTATGTATTTCCTGGGCCTGGACACTGAAACCTTTTTCTCCCTAAATAAAAAAGGATTTCGAGAGCTCCTATGGGTTCAAAATGGTGGATGAAGCCACCAGAAAGTTGATCTTCCCAATTCCGGATCCTTTTTTGGTTGAAGCAAAAAAGGCTCTGGCCTCACCAGGTTTGTGGGGCAAGTAGGTTCCCTTCCCGGATCCTTTTTTTTATCTGAAAGAAAAAGGTTCTGACCTCTCACAAATTTTATCGTTGTGCTATTCACAGAGGTCCAAGAAGACTTTGGAAACTTGTTGAAAAACTCTATGTCACACAGCGGATCCTTTTTGCAAGGAGCAAAAAAAGGATTGGGAGGCTTCTGGAGCCAACAGCCACTATAAACCCCCCCTGCGTTCGGAACGCGCGTTCCAGAACACGCGTTTTGCGTTCTGCGTTTTGACCGTGCTAGGTCAGATGGTTAAAAGATGGTGAAAATTATACCGGCAAGAGACCCCAAACAGTGTGGGGGAGTGGGAGGATAATGTATTATGATGTGGATGAGGATGAGGGTGATGATGATGATGAGGATGAAGATGAGGATTAAGATGATGATAAGGATGGGGATAGGAAGGAAAATGTTGCGCAGGATGATGTTGAGGAATGTTACGGAAGATGCGGTAGAGGAGGATGATGTTGCCGAAGATGAGGTGGAGGAGGATGATGTTGCGGAAGAGGAGGTGGAGGATGATGATGTTGAGGAGGATGAGGATGAGGATGATTATGCGGAAGATGAAGTTGATGATGGAAAGGTGGAGGAAGGGCGGAAAGGACCTAAAAGCAACAGTGGCTGCAAGCTAGCAGGACAAGAGCGACCCTAGTAGTGAAAAGAAGAGATACCAGGTAAGATTCTGCAAGTTCCCTTTGTGAAGATCTCTGTAGAAGATCCCTGTGTAAGGCTATCTGTACAAGTGTCTATATGAGATCCCCACAGAAGATCTTTGTAAGGGATCCCTAAGAGTAAGATCTCTGTTCAAACTATCTATACATGATCTCCAAGCAAGACTTCTGCTCTCTTCACCAGGTCTCTGTACAAGATCTGATCTCCACAAGAGGTCTCCTGGCAAGATGTCTGTACAAGATCTCTATAAGAGCTTTGTTGGCAAGATCTCCGTGAGAGACCTCAAGGCAAGATCTCTGCACAGATCTCTGCAAGAGGCGTCTTGGCAAGACCTCCTAGACAAGATCTCTATAAGAGATCTCTTGGCAAGATCTTTTCATGAGATCTCCGTACAAGATCTCCATAAGAGCTCTGTTGACAAGATCTCTGTAAGAGACCGTAAGGCAAGATCTCTGCACAGATCTCTGTAAGAGGTGTCTTGGCAAGACCTCCTGGACAAGATCTCTATAAGACATCTCTTGGCAAAATCTTTTCATGAGATCTCTGTGCAAGCTCTCTATGAAGCTCTCTTGGCAAGAATTATGTAAGAGATCTCGTGGCAAGATCTCTGCAACAGGATCTCTATGCAATGTCTCTGTACAAGGTCTCCATAAGAGGTGTCTTGTCAAGATCTCTGTACAAGATCTCTATAAGAGGTCTCTTGGCAAGATCTCTGTAAGGGTCTTCTTGGCAAGATCTCAAAAGATCTCTATGGAATGTCTCTGTACAAGATCTCGGTTTGAAACGTCTGTAAACGCTCTGTAGAGGAGTTCTCTTGGCAAGAGTTATGTAAGAGACCCGTGGGAAGATCTCTGCACAGATCTCTGGAAGAGGTCACACACTTTGTGCGAGCCTGCGCAGTCGAAATGCATTTCAACATTTTCACAAGAGCAACTTTGCACGCAAATATACAGGAAAAATGCCGTGCCCCAGAACCTAGGACCACACTTTGTGCGAGCCTGCGCAGTCGAAATGCATTTCAACATTTTCACAAGAGCAACTTTGTACGCAAACATACAGGAAAAATGCCGCGCCCCAGAACCTAGGACCACACTTTGCAGTCGAAATGCATTTCAACATTTCACAAGAGCCACTCTATACGGAAATTTACAGGAAAAATGCCGCGCCCCAGCCCAGAACGCAGACAGACGCTTCGTGTGAGGCTTTCCAATCGAAATGTACTTGGAGATTTCACATGAGCCACTTTATACATAAATTTACAGGAAAAATGCCGCGGGCCAGCTGGAGCACCCTGATCCACCAGCGGCCTTTACAACTACCGTAAGAACCCATCAATGTGGACACACTGTTTGGGGAAAAATTGGTCATATATAAGAAGTATGATGATTTTTTGGACAACATGGTCCTCAAACCAGGTCTTTATGTATGACATTTGTTCAAGATCATTGTCATTCAGATTGGATGACATATTGATAACATTTCACCACGACGTCAATGGGAAGATAGTGAGGATGTGGGCTAATATTCCTTCTGGGAAAAAACTTTTGTGTTTTGTTGATCTGTGGCACGATATTGCGTTAGTTGAAATTCACTGTTGTTTTGTATATTGCAACGGACCATCGCACGATTGGATTGCAACTGATTAATTACCATCTATAAAATGTCATCAATTACCCTCCGGTGATTTATCAGTTTGCTATGGAAGCCACAGCCCATTTATTTCGAAAACTTATTTGAATAATGTTGAGCAATGGTGATTTTTCATAGCTCACTGTAACAAATAGTACCAGAGCGTATTGAGTGTATAGCTGATGTTTATTCCACATTGTATCCACATATTCAGTTGGTCATATGGTCATACTATACCCAATTATATAAATCAAAACTAAATCACCAGTCACTTTCCTTCTCATTGCCATCAAACAATCCTTTCCTGTTCCTATTATAACCAATCTATCCCAGTATATTCTCATTATATCCCCATGGTATTCCATTATATCCCCGTTATATGCCCCAATATCCCGTCATACATGTCATACTATGTTCCCATTGTATTTTCATTTTCCACATTACTATATAAACCTTTCTTTGCAAGCACCATGTTCTATGGTATTATTACTGCAATCCCTAAATGCATATATATATAAATAGATATGCACGTACATATCTATATATATATATCTATATCTATATATATCTATATATATATATATCTATCTATACTTATACTTATATTTTTATATTTAGTTATATATATATTTATATTTATATTAAAAAAACTGTGTATATATATATGTATTTAAATATAATATGTTTTTATATATATATATATATTTATTTATTTATATGTACATATCTATATATGTGTATTTATACACACACACACACCTATATTCCTACTGTTTCCATAGCTAGTGTGGATGGTTGCGAAATCCTGCACCGCCAACTTAGATGGTTGAAACCTTGTATATCATGGGAAAAAACATCGATCACCTCTGCCCGAATTATAACGACGCCACCCGACGTCGCCCCAGAAATCGACCTAAAGCCTGAATTGAGGATTTTGAGTTGTGGCCACTATTCACTCCCCCGCTGCAGCTGAAAGGGTAGAAAGGAAACACGGTACGCTTGAACTGCAAGAGATCCACAATAAAACAAATCCCAAAATCTGAAAATTTCGCACCGTGAAAAACTCAAATTGGACGTCTTGAAAAATCATTGCGCGCCCAAGTCCCATATCTGCTTTAGCACGGGTGAATTGGCCATGCTTCACACCATTGAAAAACATGCCGGGGCATGGCTGAAACATTACGTTTTCCCCAAAGTCAGTAAAGGGTGGTATGTTCAGGCTTTCTCAAGCATCGCTTATTTGCTTGTGGCTTATAATTTTAGCCTACGGTACCCTGTTACCCTTTACATAACATTAGGTGTGGTTTGCAATGCCCTGGACGACGTAAAACAAATATCAATATTTCTTGCGACGCAGACCCTATTTTAATTTTGAAATAAAAAATCGACCCAACGACCTACGAAATATTACAATTCAGCCAGATCAACTGGCGCAGGATTTCGCAACCATCCACTGTAGGTATAGTATCCACCTTTGAACGTTTGAAACTACAAAATTGGGATTAAATGAAACTGGGGGTATTTCAGTATAACATACCCTCCATGAAAGCACTAAACGATCCACAGTATGTTTGTTGTATAATCTTAGGGTAATACTAATCTTAGGGGGGCAATTCCAATAATCCCATTATAATCTGTTATAATTCAGATATATCCCTCTATATTCCCATTATATCTCCATTTTCACCATAGCGTTTGTTGTAAGCCCCACGAAGCACTAGCGTCACTTGGGTCCCATCGGACAGGATTGTCTGGTGCTCTGCAAGCTGGAGCTTCCAAACGCAAACGTCTACAGGCCGCTGGGATCTGCTGGTGGGAAGGCAGCCGAACTGGGTTTCAACTCGCAAAAAACATCACTGATGTGGATTTTTGTGGGTTTATATACTGTACATATTTAATATATATATATATAATGTAAACACCGGATTAATAACCTCCCCCCCCAGAAGGTAGGGGGGGTACCTTCTGACTGGTTTTCTTGACCACCCCTTAATAATAAGCAACTCTGAACCATAAACATTTGGATATGGCTTGAGTCAATAAGATCATCATAGAATTCCAAGGAAGGAAGGAAGGAAGGAAGGATGGAAGGAAGGAAGGAAGGAAGGGAATTTTAGATTAAAAAACATGGATTTTTGAACCCGCAGCCATTTTGGCTCGTTTTCACCACTCCTGGTTGGGTAAACCAACAGATTCCTATGGGGAATAATTTTAGATTAAAAACATGGATTTCCGAATCCGCAGCCATTTTGGCTCATTTTCATCGCTCCTGGTTTGGTAAACCAACAGATTCCTATGAGGAAGAATTTTAGATTAAAAACATGGATTTCCGAAGTGGTGGTTGATTAACCGGAGCTAGGCCCACCGGTTTATTAATCCTGGGGGACCACCTGTTTTTAAATTGTTTTTTTTTGGGGGGGAGGAGGAGGTTGATTAATAACGGGATGTTGATTAATCCTGACTTGACATGACATTACATACATATATATATACATATATGTGGCTATCAAGGGTTTTAATGCTTCAAAGATTGGGATAACCAATCAAACAATCGATATTAAAACATGTTTATATACTTATTTGAATGGGTATGTGGCCAATAGAAAACCAGAATCCGCATGATTTTTTGTGAGTGATGTTACGGTACATGGCACCAAAAGGGTCTATATTCCAACAAACATGTGTTTTTTTTAACCAGCATGAAGGTTAAACTGTTCAACCAGCATGAAAAAATGATGTAACCAACAGAAAAGCGAGATTCAAGCAGTAAAGGGCAGATGAGCCAAGGATGACGAGTTCGGCCCATTCTGACGAACATGGTCAAACCGGGGTTCAACGGGTCAGGGGATGGTGATGGCCATGTGTTGGTGTGTTGACGGTTAAATTTTCGGTTAAACCCCTTTACCAATTATAAAATGGTTGTAAAATGGTTATAAAAGGGATTATGCATTCCATGAATGGGGTGACTTACTGACTTGCAACTGG